AGACCAATCTACTCCGGTGAGGCCACGCCCCCAATTTCACTCATGAGATGAGGCAGGCGCAGGCGTTTTTGTGCAGGCACGCCAGTGAATGTGTCAGCGTGGGCTGCAGGGCGCAGTAGAAGACTCCCGAGTCGCTGGGCTTCACGCGTTCGATATGCAGAGGAGCTTGCCGAGCGGTGGCATCCATGCTGGAGCGAAACCTTTCACCGTACTTTTCTCCCTTTTTGCCCTGACCAAACTGAGATGTGCTCAGGATGAAGTCCGGCAGTGAGCTCACTTCTTGTTTGTACCAGAAGATGTAGTCGCCCGACATCGAACTGTCGGAGCTGCAGTCGAGCGTCACTGCTGCACCCTCAACGGCGTGGACGTCCCGTTCCGGCTGGTGCACCATCTGGCCGCTGATTCCTGTCACAAAAAGGCAATAAAAGCGATCAGACATCAGTGGAAAGCGGCAGTGACTTCACATCTCGACCTCACCCAGGCTCCAAGCAGCCGTCAGCACACACACAAGCGCCCGACTCATGTCTGCACTTGCAATGTATGAGAACGCTGACTTGTTGCTGAAGGGGCGGGACCTTTCTGAAGCAGTGACATCACACATGCACGACCTAAGTCATGTATCGGCGGATCAGCGCACTTTGGTTCGCGTGAACGTCATATTTGTCTTGATTTTAATCAGACTAATTAACAATTAAAGTAAATATGAGCATAATCATCTCGATATGCAGGTGCACCTGCATATCGAGATGATATGATGCATATCTGCTTCCTGTCACTTTCGATACTTGCCGACCTTCCAGCACGTGCTGCCACTCGGCGAGACGGAGAGCAGGAAACGTGTGACCGCTCGGTGCTTTCACGTTATTGGACCTTTGATATGTCGTTTGTGTCTTCTCTGCGTTCTCTTGTACCTTGCCTTCCCAAGCCCTTTTTGTTGTATGTATTGTTTTTTTTTTCTGGCTCCTTGTGGCCAAGCGAGCAACAAGCGCTAATAAAATACCCTAGGATAAAAAATATTTTTTCTGACCTTATTTCTTTTTCAAGCCAATACATATTGTTGGGGAAAATAATTTAGCACACACCAGCATAATATGTTTTCGTTGTTTATTGTGGCCACCTACTTTTGAACACTGATCACTGAAAATTCTCTGTGAACCTCAAACATGACAGATTTTGACTGAGGAGAGCCCAAAAGATCCTTTGCTTTCAAGACAGCTTGATTGCCTCCCCTGACTACTAAAAACTCAATATTTAAATTGTACATTATTTTGTTTAAAAGCAAGAATTTCAGTTTCATATTCATTTAATTTCGGCTTGTCAGTGGTGGCCTGATAACAGTGGCATACTGGTCCAGGGCCATAAGGCCATTGGGCCACCGTTAATGTCGGATCCTGTATCATTTCCTGTAGTTTGTCCCATTAATTCGGACCACCTTAGTAACATTAAAATAGATGTGAATGACTTTTGAGCAGAACTTTGAAGAGAGGCAACATGATGCCAGCATTGTGAAGCCAGAGGTGGTGGGCGTGGCCAATGTGGTTGCAGATTTGTGTCACAGTGGATGTTGTTGCAAGAAGGCTCCTGCAGGCTTCACGATTGTCTTCAGGGGCGGGACAAAAATGACAGTGGAAATCAGGATGATCTTAATATACACAGTAGCTTATATTTTCCACCTCTTGTATTGACATAATTGTTCGTGAATATTGTTTTTTCTTTCTCCACTCTGTTTTTGGGGGAAAGGTTCACCTGCTTGCTTCTGCCACAAATCTTCCTTTTTATTGCCTCAAGTGCTATGTGCTTTTTTGATGCTCATAACGTGCTTGAAGACATCACAGACACTTGGAGAAGGGTATCCGGTCGATATAGATGACATGGAAGTCTAGTGGATGAGGAACGTTGCCCTGACGGATGCCGCTGTGAGGAGGTGAACCGCTGACGTGAAACTAGTTTGAGTGTCGCAACTGATAAATTTTCCGATGGATGCTGGAACGAGCAGATAATGGGTACGCTGACAATGCATTTTATTTGTGCGTGGAAACATGAAGGAAAATAACAAATGGGATTTTGCTTGTATCGCGCTTTTGAAGGCACTCAAAGCACTTGAACAATCCTCATCAGCATCAGGACCAAGTTGGGGCTTTGGTATTTTGCTCAAGGACCGTTGGGCATGGTCACTTGGGCTCAGGATTGGACCCACGACTTTCAGGCTGGAAAATGACCAAAACACCACCTCAGCCTCATAAGGATTCCGATTGTGCTCTTGTCAAGGTTTCACTTAAGGTTTATGTCATGGGACCAACTGATGTGTGTCAGGAGTTCGGAGAGTACTTTTTGGAAGTGGTACCAGACTGACTGTGGAGACTCGTAAGTTTGACTTTGATGTATTGCAACCCAAATTGTGTCACTACCTCATGAAGATGAGATAAAACAAGATAATATGCAGTTTTTGTGCCCATTTTTTAAAACCGCGAAGCCTATTGAGTTTTCAGCTTCATAACAGAGCTCAGGAGGTTCTTGTTAAGGAAGTAACTAATGTGTGACAGGATGGAACAGGTTACTTTTTTGAGGTGGGTAAGTGGATTTTTTTTTTTTTTTTGGCAGACAATTAATTAGTTTTGTTTGAATTAAAATCTGAAACAGAAAATTTGCTAGTTCATATTTTTTTTTGGTTTTGTATGAGCCTCACATTGTCTGAATGTGTACTCCATGTTTGGATGTGGAACCAGATTGAGTGTTGACCCTGGTGAGTGAAAACATGGCAAAGTCTATTTGGCGGCTCAATTCAATGAAATTTGGGGATTTGCTTTTTACATGTTGACATGCTTTGTGTGAATCTTTCACAAACTCTGTCACGAACATCATATGAAAGCTATTGTTACATATTAGACATGTCAGGAACCAGCAAGTTTCCTC